CAGATGGAGCAGAGACAGAGGAACGGTCAAATTCATCAACAAATCAGCAACGTGCAACTATTCAAAAGCTGCAGTCGTATCGAATCATCTCCGCAGCAAACGTTTTCAACGTGTCATGGCCGATGAGCGCTTTAATGCCGTTTCCATTTCGTGTGCGACCTTTAAATGGGACAACAGGAGCAGCATGAGCGGTCAGCAGCACGGTGCCCGGTTGATTTACTCATACTCACGCCCACGTGCTCGGAAAAGACAATCCAAAATAAAAAACGTGGAAAATATGACTCGACGCCATTTTACATGGATGACTAAGAAAAAAAACTGTTCTGACTCTGTTTGGGAAAGAAAAGCAACCTGATGTGATTTTATGGACTTTAGATAAAACTTGTATTAGTTTGATTTGTCGTGAAGATTTTTAAAAACTATGTTTATAATGGACTCATTTTGACAAGATTTACAGACATTAACCTCCACCATCTGTTCCCCCGGGCGCCCTAGCTAGCAGCTCTCTGCTCCACACAGAGGGCTCTGGTAGCTCGGTGGTCTGTGGTTGCGTCAGGAGGAACATCCGGCGAAAAAACAATCGCCAGTCTTCATGCGACTTAGTTCGCTGTGGTGACCACTGAAGAAGGGAGCAGCCGAAAGAAGGAGAAGAAGAATGGAACAATAAAATACTTTAAACTGGGAGAAATGAAGCCGTTTTACTAATTTTTATGCTCGTTATGGATAATTAATAAAACCACCAACTCTAATACATTAGTGCAGATCAAAGTGGGCATTACAATGATTGCTATGACAATAAAATTTCTTATAGATGCCATTTTCTTACGTTTGATCAGATAATTACCATATTACTCAAAACAATATGTTGAAAAATACAACGCTCAAAATTACAACAGCTATCTTTTCACTTAAACATCTTAAATTAAGAAAATACATCTTGATTGGACATTGTGCTTTACTTTAAAGATGTATTAAGACATAAATTTAAAGAGTATTTCAACAGTAAACACATTTTTATTGTGTTTTAATGATAAAACAACTTCTGAACAGTGGCTGACACCTGTGCTAAGCACAGCTAAACTCACCGATGCTAATGTTGTTAGCTTCAGGCGTTTAAATGTATTGCATAAGCTGAGCACCAACCGGTGGAGCTTTTATCGTCTTTTGTCATTTTAGAAACTCTGCTAAATTCTCATTTAACAGGACTCGGGTAGCATTGACACTTTTAGCTGCTCATCAAACGTCCATTGATGTCTTCACCTCATTGCTTCTTTGAGTAAATCTTTCTTAGCATGGCTAACAGCATTCCCGTGTACAGAATTTAATAGTTTAATGTTTCTCAGACCAGATCGGTTACATTCTTCAGCCACATGCTGACCAGGAGCCACCAGTTGATGATCATTGCTGTACGACGTGTTTGTTTTATGGTCATAACTTTTATTAGTACAAAAGAAATTCTCTAATGTGGAAAGTTTGTGGAAGAAGAGATAAAAGCAACTAGCCGAATGATTCTTAGCAAAGTTAAAAGTTAAAAAGTAAAGGGCGGACCTGTCTCCTGTTTTAGACTTGAGTCAGAACGCTGGCCCGGCTCCACGGAGCTGAGAGGTGAGATGGGTTTACTTCCATTTTTCTTTTATGAGCTCTGAGGCTATCCATTATTTAAGTGGCACGGACATCAGCTGACTCAACATTTAGCCTTCTGTCCGACACCGAAGACACGCCATGAACCAAAACAGCTCTTCAGCTCTCAATGTTTTTGTAATAAATTAAAAAAAAAAAAGGTTGTTTAAAAAATGTTCAGGGCTGCTGAGACATCAAAACTGACAGGTTAGTAAACCATCACCACGAAATGGGTAAAATAATTTCTAACACATTATTGCTGAACATGAATTTGATGTTTATACACCTAAAGCATATATTTTTAATGATTCTTTATGTGTTGCAGGGTACTGCAGTGATGCATACCTGTTTATGATTTCTTGCAGGCAGATTTTTATTCAACCTTCCTGACCTCCAGTTTCATACTTGGCCTGTTAAAAGCAGCCGAACAATCTCTGTCTAATCGGTTCACCCTCCAGTTTGGACTTTTTATTCTGAGGAAAATTTAAAATCCAGATCTTCCGATTCATAGAATCCGATCTGAATTTTATTGTAATCTGGCACGACTACCAAAACTACAAGGGGATCCTTCATTATTTTTAGTAAGCAGTATGCAGATCGCTGAAGGATTTGAATGAATGTTTGTATTTTTAAAGATGTAATAAACCTTAATGTTTTTGATGTAAGATATTGAAATGAGTCAGAGTTGCACTGTGGAGAAGAACAGGCAGGTTTTAGATTTACTGCTCCAAGGACTGGGTTTGCAAATTAGCCTGTGGCTGGAAAACCTTTGAACAAAACAACGGTTGCTTCGTTTTTAACATGTAACATTATTTATTGTGCTGTCCTTGTTCAAATAAACTTGAATGAAAACATAAATAAAATAAAAAAGGCAGCGCAGTGACAGTTCCTGACGAGTGGAGGGAGCAATTTTGCCCACCACAAAGCACAGTGGCAGAACCAGGGGGTGGCAAATGGTGGCCTTGGCTACCTAAACCTAATCTTCGGCCACCCCAAATCATTTGAGGAAACTATACTTTAAAGCAAAAAAAATAAAAAATAAAAATAAAAATAGAAATCATAGTTTCCTCAAATGATTGGGGTGGCTAGTTTACATATAAATATGATGGTGGCCATATTGGATTTTGACATGGCAAAGCCAATTTTTGATAGTAAAAGAAAGGTGGCGCATCGGTTAGAAAAGGTGGGCCTGTGATCAGAAGGTCGACAGTCCAACTCCCCAAACAGACAACATCAAATGTGGGTGGGATAGGTGAAGCACCCAAATCTGCCTCCACCCTCATTTTGCCCCACTCTGAGCCCTTGAGCAATGCCCTTAACCCCCACCATCTGCTCCCCAGGTGCCTTAGAAAGCAGCTCTCTGCTCCACGCAGAGGGCTGTGGCAGCTCGGCGGTCTGTGGTTGTGTCAAGAAGGGCATCCGGCGTGAAAATAAAATGCCAAATCTTCATGCGAAGTAGTTCACTGTGGCGACCCCTGAAGAAGGGAGCAGCCGAACGAAGAAAAACCTTTGATAGTGACCTTTTCTACACCAAGATGCAGCCGCGCAGCAAAATGGAAAACAGCGCATGCTTATTATTTGTTATCCGGCTCACAAGGTTCATATTTACATAAATATATTGTGGCAGCCAACTTGGATTTTGACATGGCAACCCAGTTTTACCTTACGTCTAGATGTAGCCACACAACAAAACTGAAGTTGGCGCCTCACTTATCTTTCAATATGTAATGCTCACAACATGCACAGACAGAGGGCGGGGTTCCATTTTATTTTTTCTGTGACGGGGTACAAAAAATGTATATTTTGTTCACCCCGACGTAAGCTAATGTAACGTTTGGAGGAGCTAAAGCTCTCCTTACAAAGAAGCAGGTCAAAGGTTTTTGTTCCCATCGTCCACAGAGCAACTCTGGAGAGATGAATGACGAAAGATAAAACGAACGGAGACGCCAAAAACTGTCGTCGGAGCCACCGAATGATGTCGAGAAGAGAAAGAATCAGGAAAAAAGGAAGTAAAACTGTGGTTTCATTCTTCAAAGATGAGTTTCCATCCTGGCTTTGGGATTTGTTCGTCAGCAGCGGTACTTGGGTATTCCCTGCATAATCCTCATCATCTACTGGGAGAGTGGGGAATAAGATGAAAAAATTAAATAAAAAACTCAAAAGATCTGAGAAAAACCGAATAAAAAAGAAAAAACTTATAAAGGATAATAAAAAAACTGTTAAATGTGTGTTTCATTTATTAATATTGTAAATATTGCGTGATCTACACTAAGTGTTTTAGAGGGAATCTTGCTCTTTCAAAGTCGAGAGTTTTTATTGATAATTTCATTGAACGATGAGATGGTTTATACAAAAACATGAAACTCTGCTTTGGAAAGCTGAAGTTTAAGGCGACTGCTGTTTTTTTTTTTATTGACAAAATATAGTCACTGTTTCTGCCAACCTTTAATCCCGACAACGACTAAAACTTCAAAGAGCAGCTTCTCTTCGATGACTTTCTGTAATAACGGTGGACTCGAGACTTAAACAAGAGAATAGTTTTACGGAAATTTATTTGACACTACTGTATGTGACAAGCTCATGAGAAAGTCTGCGGACGTTGTGGCTTTGAAAATCGTCAAGCAGCCAATCAGCTTCCAGGAAGTGCTCGTGATCAAAGGTTGCAGAAATCCCACAGCCTGTCAGCTGACCTGTTGGCTTCTGATGACTAAAATAAATGTGCTGTCAAAGTAAACAATGGTGATTAAACTAGAACAACATGTTTGAACAGAAAGCCATAAAACTAAAGTGTTGATTTAACGAGTTGTTTTTGTGATTTGACTGAGTGCATGAACTCTGAATTCGTCCTCGGTGGTCGGTGGCAGACTGACGTGACGGTCTGAGCGTGTAAAAACAAGTTATTATTCACCTTTAGCAAACACGCTGTGACAAAACAACACATCATTAAGAGACTGCAGAGACGCTCTTCAGCTTCGCCTCCTCCGGGCGCGCTCCATCAAGACGACTGAAAAGTTATTCACGCTTTCAAAAATCCAGTCAACCAACTTAGTTTATGAGCATCATTTTATCCTCCCCCTCAAGCAAAAGGGGGTAGAGGGGGGGAGGAGGGGGTACCCACTTATGAAACTACTAAACTTTGGATATGACATCCTCACTGAGAGCTGGTATCAATCCGAGAGGAACTCCACGCTCTGCGCCCGCAGGTTTATTTTTATTTTTTGCAAACGTGAAGCTTTAAATTTGCCAAACTGCTGCCACTTTGGAGGTGAAGGCAGACGAAGGCAGGGAAATACATCTGCTGGATGGGAAACGACTCTGAGAGCAGAGAGACAGGAAACTGGATAATAGGAGGCCTGACAGACGGAGACAGAACTACTTACTTCTCAATGAGGTCCAACGTCACCCCCGGCACCAGCTTGGCGCTCTTCTGCATGCAGAACCTGGAAACAGACGGAATGCGTTACTGACGGGGGTTAAAGAGAAAACAAGAACCTGCGTCCAAGCGTTTGGCCTCTAAAAGACCAAATTTACGACCCGCAGGAGAGACAATCGATAAATAAAACGCTTGAATGAAAAATGAGAGCTGCAGTGATTACAACCACCGAGCACCGACGAGCACAAGTGTATTTTGGGTGAGTTATGGTGTGAGAGGAGGGGGCAGGAGGTGGGAAACACAGACTCATATTTCTGAAACGCCTGCCAGGGGGATTATTGTTTACTATCCGTGGTTAGTTCTGACAGGCCGGCCAGCTGTAAGTCACAGCAGGCGGCTGCTTGGAGTCCTGACAGTCCAACGGGTCGACTCGACGTGAGGCATCACACACCTGGAGGACAACAGCTGTGTGTGTGTGTGTGTTGTACACAGATCAGTTGCAGGAAAGATTAAATAAAGGAAATCACATCCAGAAAATCATTTGGCTCTTTTAGAATAAACTACACCAACAGAGTCTTTAAATGTTAATTTGACCAAACTGCTGATTGAAAATGTGATTCAGGTCATGAATTATTTCCCCAACAAGTCAAATTATAACGAGCAGTAAACCAATATCCCCCAACAATCAAGGATTTGAACAATGAATGGTTGAAGTGTTAGAGATGAGTGTTTTTCTGGACTGGAATTAAACAAAGAATGCAAGTAAACCTTAAAGTTTTTGGTTCAAGATACAGTAGTCCCTCGTTTATCATGGGGGATTCGTACCCTGAAGCGCCGTGATAAGTGAAATCCGCCGTACTCGTCGCACCGCCCTATAAGTCGCATCTGTCTAAATATGCCCAAAAGTGGAAAAATCCATAAACACGCCGCAGCTATTATGCATCACCGCTGACAAACCGGTCATGTGTTGTGCCAAAAATCGATTGGTTGCCAAATGGCGGCCGCGGAGGCGTGCACGGGATGACTTTAACAAGAATTTAACAAGATTAACACTTAAAAACTATTATTTGATTGCTCAAAATTATAGCAAAGGTGCGTCTCAGTCTACCGTTTCCTTCATAAACGCACTTTGACGGTCAAATTTCAAAAACCGATATGCGGAAGTAGGCGCATGCATGGGAGGACTCGCTGTGCATTTCTTTGAAATTTAAACGATAACTACCTTTTGTTTGCTCGACTTTATAGTAAATGTGTGTCTCAGTTGAAATTTTACTTAATAAATGCACTTCAATGGTCAACTTAGCTGCATTTCGCTGGGGTGGCGCAGCGAAATGAAGTTGCTCCAGGCAGACGACGGTGGCAGGCTATGGCAAGCCGATTGTGTCATTAACACCTACTTTTACCTATTACATGATACAACGGCATGCCATAATACTCGAGTGCCATCTAGCGGCTGAAAATGGTAGTGTTCAATATTTTCAGTCAGAATTAATGAAAATGGTCATATCTCAGCCAAAAATTGGTTTATAAATATCAGAACAAATCCATAAATATGTCACTTCGGCGAATAAGTCGCAGGGCATGCAAATTATGCAAAAAACTGACTTATAGGGCAAAAAAATACAGTAGTACAAGTAGTAGTTTATTTTAGCATATATACTGTATATATACATATATATAAAAATAAAGGTGTTTTAAACTCTTCCCACACTCTTGCAATAATCTAAACAATGTTTCTAAACTCTAAACACTCGAAAAGAGCACAGAATGTCATGATGTCAGCTCCCTGCCTCCTCTGTGCCATGGCTGCCCTTTGCGCTCTAGGCCACGCCCACTTCTCTGCAGCTCAACGGAGATCACAGAGGAGGAAGGAGGGAGGGAGGAGGAGCTGCAGAACTGCTTCTCCTGCAGTGTGGGCTGCACAAAGGTGCAGCAGGTGGTAAATAATTTAAAATAATTCATTTTAAAATATAAATTCCACGCTGATCGTGTTGCTCATCTATCAATCAGCCAATTGTGTGTCATGTCCAATCTTATTTTGAAAAACCGCGATAAAGCGAGTCCACGAAAAACGAATCGCGAAGTAGCGAGGGACGACTGTATTCACGTGGGTGGTTACACAGTGGAGAAGAAGAGGGAGTTTGTTTTGTTTGTTCTTTGCTGGTCTGAGGCAGCGTATAGTGACAGATCCTGGTGAGTGAAGGGAGCAATTTTATCCACCACCGGGTGCAATGGTGGAGCCAGGGGGTGGCCAGTGGTGGCCTTGGCCCCCCATTAATTAATCTTCGTCCATCCCAATCACTTGAGGAAACTATATTGTTAAGCAATATAAAAACTAGAAAGCATAGTTCCCTCAAATGATAAGGGTGGATGGTTTACATATATATAAATAAATGGCGGTGGCCATTTTGGATTTTGATGCGGCAACCCTATTTACGATAGTGACGTTTCTTACATCTAGATTTTGCCACACACAAAAAATTAATGAATCATTTTCCTCAATAAATAAATGACCAAGTATAATATTTGTGTCTTATTTGTTCAACTGGGTTGTCTTTATATACTTTTAGTACTTGTGTGAAAATCTGATGATGTTTTAGGTCATATTTATGAAGAAATATAGAAAATTCTAAATGAAAATTTATGCAACATGCTGTCTAGTGGTGGTGCAAGTGTACCAAGTTTCATTAGAAGATCAGAAGTTATGGCCTCCTATAACATCCGCCCTCAATGGGCATATGAAAACCTGCTGGCCTTCTTTTTTAGGACAGTTTTCCACGTGGCTGCTGTATCAGTGCATCATAACTGCAGACAGTTGAACAGATTACAAACACATGACATGAGTGAAGCACAAAGAGGCTGATGATGAGGGATTATTACCAACAGAGAGTAAAAGTGGCCAAAGTTAATTTGAACTCTTGAATGAGGCAGAGTAAATGTGTGGGCGCTGAGTGGAGAGACGAGAAAGTGAACATGTACATATTAAACTTTGAGGGAAGGAGATGTGAGGGAACTACAATACTGCTCCCAGGGAGGGACAAGGGGGAGGAACAGAGCGTCTCCTCTGGTCCCTGCTGAGCCGACTGTCTCCTACAGTTCATTACTCCTTCAATCAGCCTCCTCGTCCCAAGACATCGGCTGCTATCAGACCTATATGTGCTGGATGGGCAGTCAGGTGTTCTCACACCTCTTCTCCTGGGTCTCTGACCCACAATATAGATAAGATTTCTAAAAATCCATCTAACTTTTAAGTGTCTTTGACTTTTTTTTAATCAAATTTTATAATTAAAACTCTATTTCCAAAGCTACTGTTGGGTCATTAAAGATTTGGCAAATGTTTTACACTGAATGCCCTTCCTGATGCAACCTGAGCTTGAATCCACTAACTTCTTTTTTTTAATTTTTTTGTAACTCTTGCTTGAACTCATACAAGAATAAGCAATGGGGTAAAAATAAAATAAGGACTGCAGACTTGTTATCTGGAGTTGTGTTCCCCCTGTCAATATTTGTTTTCTCACCTTCCTCGATCCGTTCCGTCTGAACCTCTACTGTCTGAACAGCGTTTAAATTTTTTTTTAAAGAAAATTAGAAGTCTTGAATTATTTTGTCCATTTGTGCCCGATGCAGCAGGAGAATATCTACTATCTACTACACATAGACTGGAAAACGCAGCTTGATGGGGAAGCACAACTCCTGACATGACAAAACTCGGATAAATTTGCAAAATAACGAACAACTTTTCACTTGGAATTGCAATGACCAACACGTTTGCACAAATTCTTGGCCATTTATGACCTAGATTTGATCAGTTCACATAGATGTTGTGAAATTGCAACACTCTAGTGCATAGACATTGCATCAATTATATATGACGGGGAAGTGTGTCGCCCCCCCCCCAAAAAAAAAAAAAAAAAAAAAAGTTAATTTGGACCACCCCACATTTACCATGAAATATTAGTTCACCCAACGCCGTTTCTATTTCTTCATGAACAAATCCATTCCATTTGATTATTAGGAAAACAATCAAAACACTAAAAGTCCACTCCGGGTTTTCCAGGTTACGAACTCACCACACCGCATGCAGTGTTTCTTTTAAGTCACCTGCCTTAGCATGGCGCTCATCTCTGAGAGATTTTTTGTTGACGGAACGGGGGGAGGAGGGGTAGACACCTCTGTGTTGCATGCTTACTTAGCACTTCGTTAGTGCGGCAGTTGTTTAGGATGTGAGAGAGAAGCAGAGCACTACGTCTGAAGCATCTTAGCTTGCGTGTCTGTATTGAGCGCCGCTAGCTTAGCGCTACGTTAGTGCCAGAAGTTGTCGACCGTGGGGGGGGGTGTTAAAATGTGTGAGAGAAGTGGCGCGTACTCTATTTACACAAGGAGAACTGTTGGTCAGGCTACTTCTTGCTGTGCCATAAACTCTAAAATAGTTATTGAATCAAGTGTTACTTGTGCAGGTAAACGTAGATGTTTAACAACCTGTTAAAATACACCAGAATGAAAGCAATGGCATCTACTTTATTCAAAATTTGGGGGGGGGGGGAAGACCACCAGACCCTAATCAAACAGTGTAACCCCCCCACCCCACACACACACACACACACACACACACACAGACACATTACAAATGCTTCTGATGCCAATGCTTTAGTGTTACAGAAACCTAACTGAGAAGGCTGTAACATAAAGAAAGGAGAAAATTGTGTACATCATATTTGGGGCGACTGTGGCTGAGTGGTTAGAGCAATTGTCCTCCAATGCAAGAGTTGGGGGGGTGGTTCGATTCCACCAGCAGTCACATGCCCAAGTGTCCCTGGGCAAGGCAATGAACCCCCTCATTACCTCCGATGTGTGTCCCATCAGTGTATGAATGTGATAAAGCACTGATTATTCTTGGTATAGATCTAGTAGAGTGCTGTAAGAATGGGTAAATGAGGCACAGATTGTAAAGTGCTTCGAGTATCTTGATAAGATAGAAAGGCACTATATAAGTACAGTCCATTTACCATTTATTTAACATATTTATCATCATTAGCAAACTATAATCCACGAGTACCGCATATGGCA